GCCGCGGGCGGTGCCGCCCCGGCCACCGGCGGCGGCGGCCGCGGCATCGGCGAAAGGGGCACCGCCACGCCTCTCGACCATTTCGCGGGGATGATCCGCCCCGGAGTGGTAGTAGGTATCCGCGTAGGCGGCTTGGTGATGCGGGGGCTGGTGGGGTGGGGGGTAGTAGCGCTCCCGCGGGACGGCGCCCCCCTCCCAGCCCGCCTGCGGCGGCGGGTGGTCCCGGCGCGCTCTTGCCAACCCGCCTGCTGCAGTGGCAGAGGGGGGTGACGGGGAAACTGCGTCGCCAACCTTGGGCACCTTGCGGATTCCCTCGCGGACGCCGTTCTCAGAGCCCACCCCTTCCTGCGGTTGAGGTCACAGGGATCCAAAGACAGGAACGGGAATATCGCGTCGTGGCGAGGGTGCGGGTTACCGTCAGCATCTTTGAGGGCGGGAGTCAAGCAACCCGGGTACTATTAGAGCAAATTGTTTGCACTCCGGATCGTGAGAATTAACAGGTACGCAAACTGGGCGGGACCGATCAGACCAGCACTGCCTTATGGACCTTACTCCATGCCGTATCCGCGAGGGCTACGATTGTTGCTCTCGCTCTTTGTTGTGCACAGGGTAGGTCGCGTCTGTGTCTTGCTTCCCCAATGGTTGTTTTCTGATGGCGTGGTTCAGTTTGCAACCTCTCATTTTCACGGTGTTGGAAAACGAGACGGTGATTCGGTTCACACGTTTTGGTCTGGCTTCATCTGGGTTTGACAGCAATGCTGATTTCGTCTTCACAGCCGAAGGTCATGTCACAATTTTCGTATGTATGCATGGAATAAAAAGCAGCAGCAGCAGCAGCAGCAGCAGCAGCAGCAGCGGATGCCCAATCTCCGAGCGTCTGTATATCTCCATTTTGGATATTTAGCCTAGTGAGTATGCATCACATGCACGCGATACTGCGAGTAAGTCCCCTTCAAGCTGCTGGCACTACTGCTGTCAGACGTGGAACTGGATCGAGAAAGCGTCGCTTCAAAATTGTACCATTCAGTTCCATGGCCATGAGTAGTAGATGATACTTGCGCCGTCTCCTAATAGACCCTTCCCGACTACTGCTTTGTCTACAGCAGCTTTATGGTCGGGCGTGCTTTTCCGACTGTACAAAATCCCCGTCTACAACGTGCCCAAAGACTAATGAATACACTTGCCAGATAGTTTCTTCTTTCGTGCAGCATCACCTTCTGTGTTCAAAACGCACTTAGCCCTTCGTGTTCAAACACATCGAGACCACTTTTGGGGGCTTGATCTCGAAGGTATTACGAAAACTTCATGGTTTTGGCAAGGCATATACTGTATGCGGATGTTGGAAAAATTGAACAGTTCCAACACGAAGGATATAACATGCGACGCATACAAGGTTCCCGAGAACCAATCATTGCTGCAGATTTGTACTTCGATTTTTCTTTAAGGTTTCGTAATGTAACGTAGATGACACAAGATAACACACCCCCTGGACCGATTTTCAAATCTCGATTTCTCGACAGCAGAAGGAGTTAGCGCGGAAAACGGTGGAGTTGAAGTTGTCTCGTCTAAAGTTTTCCGAAAATGTATTGTTTCATTTATGCATCCTCTTCGTTGTCGCACAATCGAGCTTTGAAAATTGGTTCAGGGGGGTGTTATCTTGTGTCATATTCGGTATGACACAACGAATCCATCTCTCATTCCACGATTTCCCGAGCAGCATTCAGATTTTTCGTCGTTTTCGTTTGTTGAGGTTTGTAGGGCTGTTCGAGCCAAAAACACTCCACCCGTGTTTGTTGTTGAGCTTGGGCTCCGTCACTGCCTACCCGCAGTCAGCTGTGAGTTGGTCCTGCTGCCTGTTTTTGGTGCAATCTTGCATCACCCCTTCATGCGACTGCTGTCCTCTCACGAGCCTACTACTCCGGAAGGTTTATCACTCGCATGAGAAATAATGCAAATACACCACTGCCGTGAGTATACATGCATACACCGGCCGTATGTAGAAACGCGCATCAATAAAGTAGAAATAAATTCGCACACAGGAAGACTACCAATTCGAGATACATATCAAAACTGCTGTATTTTCTTCTCTTTCTATGGTTCATCGAGGTTCGCCGGGCTCTTGGGGCCAAAATACGTCAGCTGCGCGAGCTGTTAAAGCTTGGGAAACGTCACTGGTTGCCGGCAGGTCCAGCGGCTGGCTGTTGTCCAGTTGCCTGCCTATTAAATATTGAAGTATCTTTGATGTTATGACCAATGCTCCCATGATGAGTCCACTAGGGACAAATTCCTTGTATGGAAATCATATGTAGACTGTACTAAGTGGGGGCTTTTCCTGCTGCTCCTGTATGCCCGGGTGGTGTCTGCATTTGACATCTTGAAGCAATTAAAGTTGTTCGAGGGACCGACAAATCTTACCGTTAAAATTGGAGTTTCGCATCCTATGCACAACTGAAAGCAATCCTGACATCCCTTCTGCGCCTTTGGATCTACCAGCAGAAAAGGTCTAGTATTCTATGGAAGAATGCATACCCGGCCATGACTCCCTCCCTGCCGAGTTACTCAAGATCGATGACGACGAACTCTTCGTCCTGGGACACCTCCATACCATCCTCGTCAAGGTGTGGAACGGAGGAGATATCCCGCGAGAGTGGAAGGATGCAACCATCAAGGTGCTGTACAAGAAGGGTGACCGGTCCAACGGTAACAACTACAGGGGTATTTCGCTACTATCTCATGTAGGCAAGGTGCCAATCAAGATCATCACCGACCGTCTAAGCGCCTTCTGCGAAGCCAACAACATCCTCCAGGAGGAACAGTGCGGATTTCGACCCAGGCGATCCACCGTCGACATGCTGTTCGTCGTGCGCCGCCTCCAGGAGCTGGAGCGGAGAGAGAAAATACCGGTCTCATTGTGCTTCGTCGACTTGAAGAAGGCGTATGATTCGGTGGACCAAGAGATGTTGAGGAAGGTGCTGGCCAGGGCCGGGATTCCCGCGAAACTGATCGAAGTCATCCGCCAATTCCACGATGGAATGCGGGCCCGGGTGCGCATGGACGACGGAGAACTATCGGACTGGTTATTCGTGACACAGGGCATGCGACAAGGATGTGTGCTATCCCCACTGCTGTTCAACATCTTCTTCGCCTAGGTCCTAGAGGTCGTTGTCATCCGATTCAGCGAGAATGATGTTGTTCTGCGGAGCCTGGTGTGCTTGGAGGAGGGGAAAACGGAAGCGGGGGGGGGGGAGGAGACACCTGTTGACCGAGTACGGAGGGCAGTATGGGGGATGCTGTATGCCAATGATGCCGGCGACGTATCGAGGTCTGCCGAACGACTGGCAAGAACGATGACCATCATCGTTGAGGTGTTCGGGGAGTTCGGGCTGACGGGTGTCGGAGAAGAAGACGGAGACGCTCGTGATGCGCGCGAAGGACAAGCCGACTACAACATCACAGCCCCCCCCGCCTCCACCGCTGACCATCGAAGCCGCGGGGCACAAGTACGCCCAGACGACCGAGTTCCAGTAACTCAGTGGCCTCGTCAACGAACATGGCGACCTCACCCGGGAGATCAACTACAGGAGCAGAGGAGCGTTGGCGTGCCTCAGGCGATATGGTCGGGAGCTCTTCGACAGACCGCAAGCGCCATTCCGACTCAAGATCCGGCTGCTCCAGGCGGAGGCGACGGAGGCACTGCTGTACGGCTGCATGACATGGTCACCACCCAGCGGCCGCTATCAGACGCTGCGGTCGATACACCACCGACTGCTCCTTCGAGTTATCGGGTACAAGCGCAAGAAAGACACCTACCGGCAGCTTTCTTACGCCCAGACGCTAAAGCGGGTCCAATGCCAGAGCGTTGAAGCCACGATCCGACAACGACGCCTGCTATTCGCGGGAGCATTGGCAAGGCGGCCGGACGGGCGACCCCCGAAACCAATGATGCCCGGCGAACTGGCGGGGGGGGGG